AATTGATGCTTTTGAAAAAAAAATTTTTACGACAGATATTTGTTTATAAATTGTAGGAATGAATTTTCTTTTCATAAATTTGTTAAATTTTGATGTATTGAATTTTGTAAAATTTGTCAAATGTAAATTTAAATTTATATTTTGTTAAATTATGAATAAATTCGTTAAATTTTAATGTATTCGAAAAAATTAATTAAGGAAACAAATTAATTAGCACTTTCTTTTGCTATGAATTGCATATTAATGAATATATTTCTTTTTTCTTTTAATTTCAGTTATTTTTAATTGCTCAAAAAAAAATGAAAAAAATGTTTCATTAATTGTTAGGTTAGAACTAATCGATAAGTGTATTAATAGATTGTAAGCAATATTTAAAAATACAATCAATTAATTATTGAAATTTTAATAATGTTTAATTAAAAACAAAAAATAAAATTATTTAATCAATTTGTGAAAGAAATGTTAAATTTGATTATACATATTAGCTATGCTTATATTAGCTATGAACATCTGGTAGTTGAAAACTTTATAATTACCATCTTCATACATACTATTAGTTAGATTTAAACAAAATTAATAGCACATTTTACAATGGCGGCATTTTATAAACAATCTTCCCTAATTAATCATGCTAATTTTAATAGCCTAAATGTAATAATAATGTATAAGTTGAGTCGAAAATTGATAATAAAATAAAATTGTTGAAAAATTTTGTAACAAAAATATGATAAAATATAGTTCTTAAAAATGATTAATCTTTTAATTTGCATTTCAGAATGTTTTAATTAATTTATTAAAAATCGTTTAATTAGTAAATGAATCATTGGGAATTTACAAATATTGCAATAAAATCGTTTTATTTATTTACAAAATATGTTAAAAATTTTACCATATGGCAAAAGGAATTTTTCAATCTAACAGATGTCATATGTAATAAATATGCATGCTAATTGAATAATTAATTAGTTTCTAATTTCAATTGATTGGGCAAAAATTAATGGTAATTGTAAATATTAGCTTGCTATTTGCTAATTCTTTTTGTTTTCCAGTTTTAGGTAAACAAATGGCAAATGTTTAGAAAGCATACAAAAATATTATAGGAATAAAACTGTTGTTTGATAATTTTAATTTTATGCAAATTTTATTCTGATAAGAAACTGATCATAGCACTTATAGAAATTAATGTGTCTAGATGAATGAATTAATTTATATAAACATTTTGCGAATTTATTTGCATAAAATTACAAAATTTTACCCACAAATGCTCGTCATACATTAAACAAATTAATGATAATTTCCGTTTTTTGGTGAAAAAACTTTTTAGTGATAAAAGTGATAAAGATAAAAGTGGCAAAAATTTTAGTGATAATTATTATCAAAAAAAGAAAAACATCTAATTAATTGGTTTCCTTTCTTTCTTTAAAAAAGTAGTTAAACTAATCAATGGAAAGGTTTATTTTTCTTCATTCATTCATTAAAAAAAATTAAATGGTAATTTTCACTTTTGAGTGATAAAACTTCTAACCAATCGGTTCTTTTTTTTAATAGTAATTGAATTAATCAATAAGGATTTTATTAATTTGAAGGAATTAAAAAATAAGAAATTATCGAATTTTCAACTTCCCCCTCTTCTTCATTAATAAATAATTAATTGTTTAACATCTATTTACATTTGATTTCATTCCATTCTTTCAATTCTAACCAACAGTATCAACCCAATAAGAAAGAAATTATCTTCCATCTTCTCCCTTCCCCGCCCTCCCGCATTCTCCAGGAACAATCATAGCATCCTAACAAAGACCTTTGTGTTTCATCACAATAATGCTTTTTCCAGAGATTTCCATAAAACGAATAAAATTTGATGCCTGAAATTGTTGAAAAAATATCAAATATTCATTTTTCTTCCTTACTTCCAAATTATATTCCGATATATTCCGGGATATTTAAACTATCACTCTATAATTTGTAAATAATAAAGAAGAAAAAAGGTATATGTCACCTGATTCATTCACAATTTAATATTATCAAATACTTTATTAATAAGTACAAAAATTTCGATACCAAATTTTGTAATTCATTGATTTCTTATTTAAAAAAAAAGATAAGTTTCATAAAGTACAATATGACATTTTTTTTTTCACTTTTAACGAATATTAAATGAAAATTCGACAATATGATTAGTAAGTTATTGAAAAATACAAATTATAAATTAATAAATTAGTAAAAAATTAACGGAAAATGTAAATAATTCAGTAAATTAATAAGTTAACCAGTAAAAAGAAATTAACGAGTTAATAGAGTAACTGAATCAACAAATTAATTAAATTAATGAATCAATATGGAAAAACATAGTAAATCAATAATTGATTTGTAAAATTAATAAATATAATTAATAAATACAAATGGATTAATAAATTTATTGCTCATTACAAATTCATTAGTCAATTCATATCAATTTATTAAAATTTGAATTTAATTAATTTACTAGTAAATTTATAATAAATTTTTGATTGATTAATGCACAGAAATAGATGCTGAAATTTTATTTAAGGCAATTAATAAATATATTAATAAATGATTAAAGTAATATAAATTAATTAATAAACTTATCGCTTGTATTACTGTTATTATTGTAATTAAAGAATTATTAAACAACCATAAATTAATAAATTAAATTATAAATGAATTATAAATTCTGATAAATTAATCAAAAATCCCTCAAATCTAATAATTCATTTATGAAAATTTCATATCTCACTTTAATATATTGCTATTATCATTATCATTATCACTATCACTATTATTAT